CCTCACGCTAGGCGGATCTTGATTAAGCGTTCCCACACACAGGGCATAGAGTGAACTACATCGAGTCAAGTGTATGGTACAAAGATGACTCCACGACTCCGTGACTCTATCTCACTACAACTCTATGACTTTATGACTCATGACCCATGGACTCTATGACTCTTGATTCTGTGACTTTACGATCCTATACACTGACTCTATCTCACTACGACTCTATGACGCTATGTCACTGCAACTCTATGACTTTATGACTCATGACTCATGGACTCTATGACTCTTGATTCTGTGACTTTACGATCCTATACACTGGATCTATCACATAGCCCCACACTCTTCGCTGATGATGCTTTCGGGCCAATTGTCTTCTAGTTTCTAATTTTTCGCCATGTGACACACATGCCCCGATATGCCACGAAACTAGGTCCCGAAATGGTGCCAAGAGTCTGAGCATCGTCTGTGCTCCCTTAGCATGCAAATGCCGTGTTGGACATTTGGAGGCCCGGCTCAATCTCTAGAAGTAAAGAGCGGTGCATGTTGCCATTCCAAATTTGCGACATTCACGGGTTGTTCAGGCTGAGGATGAGCCGAGGAGCGTGGCGAGCGCTCCCAGGTCAAGAAGAAGACGCTTGCCAGTGGTCCTGCCAAGCCTTCCACAGAGGACCTGAAGAGCCATTGCATCAACACTCGTGTTACAGTTTTGTGGGCTTGGAGGCTTCGCTGAGTTCCTCCCCCGTTGTCACTGCCGGCAAAAAGCCTGAACTTGTCTGCAGCTTCCACGACAACGGGTGATTTGTAAGCGATGGCACAGCGTGTTCCGCACATGTCTTGTCATGTTGTGGCCGCAAGCCCTGGAACGCGCACGACACAGTAAACTTCAAGTGCTGCTGCGCATTAATCTCCACTATGTGCATCTGAACTTGCTTGAGGCTTCATCTCATCTAGGAATATCTCGGGTAGCAGAAGCCTGCGATAAAGCAATACATCACACGCTCGTGGGAAGGCCTCAAGGCTGAGAGGACGGCGAAAGTGGTGACATCCGCTGCAGAAGGGATGGGCAAGTACTTCCAGTGCTGGGAAAGAAATCTGCCACCGCACTGGCCGATGTACCAGAAGACGCAAAGCAGCGCAGCACCAAGGATCGAATCCTCAAACTGTTGGCTCTGTGATGCTCTGTGCTCCGGTCTCCACATGCTGCATGACCTCTTTACATCTCGTGAAAATCCTGCTTACTGTAGTTAACGCTTCCACCTTGTGTCGCCATGGTTGCAAGCGCTCAGACCTGCTCAAACGATCAGGAGATCACGAGACGGCGCCCGAACTGACTTCACGGATGCCACGCGGGCTGGCACCCTAGTTGCATGCTTCCGTTCTAACAATCACGGCGAGCAGCTCCAGTAGAAGTCTTCCCCGCATGTACAGGTTCCCGCACATAGACGGACAGGCAGATAGACAAGCAGACAGACGAACGGACGGACAGACAGGCAGCCACCACCGCACATACATCCGTAATTACACACACACACACTATACTTGTCGTACTACTACTACTACTACTACTACTACTACTACTACTACTACTACTACTACTACTACTACTACTTCTACTACTTCTACTTCTACTTCTACTTCTACTTCTACTTCTACTTCTACTTCTACTACCACTACTACTACTGCCACTACTACTACTACTACCACCACGACTACTACTACTACTACTACTACTACTACTACTACTACTACTACTACTACTACTACTACTACTACTACTCCTGCTGCTACGACTACTACTACTTCTACTACTACTACGACTACTACTACGACTACTACTACTACTACTACTACTACTACTACTACTACTACTACTACTAGTACCACTACTACTGATACTTCTGCCAATACTACTTAAAACTACTGACTACAAACCCTAAACCCTAACCCCTAACCGTCAACCGCACACGGCGGGCGCATGTAACCCTAAACTCTACACCGTAAAACCGCGACAGCCTAAACTATTAAACCCTAATCCCCAGGCTATAAGACCCGAAACCCTAAACCCTAAACACCCTAAACCCTGCAATACTAATACAAACACGAAGTATGACTGCTAACTACGAACACTGAACTCTGACCCTAAACCCGTCAACCGCACGCGCCAGGCGCGCGTAACCCTAAACCCCAAACCGCAAAACCTCAACAGCCTACACCGTAAACCCCAAACACAAAAACGCGAACCCCTAAGCCCATTAAGCTCTGAAAACCCTGCTAAGCTACAATATTGATACTTGTACTAATTACGACTACTAAAAACAAACACTTAAACCCTAACCCTAAAACTGCAAACCACAGGCGCCGGGCGCGTATGACCCTAGACGATGAAACATAAACCCTAGGCCCTAAGCCGGAAAACCCAAACCCTAGAAATCCAAAACCCTGTAATACTAAAACTAATACTACTTATAACCAATAACTACAAACCAAAAACCTAGAGTTAAAGCCGTAAACCGCACCCGCCGGGGGCGCGCAAACCGTAAAACCCCAAAAGGCATAAACCGCAAATCCTAAACCACGAAACCCCAAACCCTAAACCCCACCAGACCCTAAACCCTATTGTGCGAATACTATCGAATACGAAATTCAGTAATATAATACTTACTACAAACCCTAAACCCTAACCCCATAAAACCCGAAACCCTAGACCCTCAAAACCGTAAACCCTTAACCGTAAAACCCCAACAGTCTAAATCCTAAACGGTAAAGCCCCAAATCCTGAACCATGCAATACTAATACTATAGTAACTATAAGTACTAACTACAAACCCTAAACCCAACCCTAAAAGGACAAGACGCATGCGCCGGGCGCCCCTGACCCTAAACCGCGGAACCCGAAATCCTAAATCCTCAGGGATCTTGATGTGGCGCAAGCGGCGCAAGACTGCGAGAATACTACGCCCTCCCCCGGCTTAGGAAATACTCGAAAACCAAGGTGACCAAAATTTCGAGTTGGGTAAAGCTAAACTTGCCCTCCCCTGACCAAAATTACAAGATTAGCAAAAGCCTGGTCTATCGCGAACCTCCACCAAGATGGGCAACATTTGTAAGATTAGCAAAATCTTGGTCACAAGCGGCGGCCCTCAATTCCCAATTCCCGGCACAACGTACCAGTGGCAGTGGCAGTGACAGTAGCAGTCGGAGTAGAAGTAGGAGTAGGAGTAGGAGTAGGATTAGCAGGAGCACGAGCAGGAGCAGGAGTAGCAGCAGCAGCAGCAGAAGTAGCAAGGGAAAGCAGTAGCAGCAGCAGCAAAAGTAGCAGCAGCAGGAGCAGGAGCAAGAGCAGGGGCAGAAGCAGCAGCTGTAGGGACAGCAGTAGCAGTAGGAGCAGTGGGAGCAGGAGGATCAGCAGCAGCAGCAGAAGTAGCAGGAAAATTATTTTTAGTAGTAGTAGTTGTAGTCGCCGTCGAAGTAACAGGAGTAGGGCTAACAGTAGTTGCAGTAGTCGCAGTAGTAGTCGTAGTCGTAGTAGTGGTGTTAGTAGCAGTAGTAGTAGTAGTAGTAGTAGTAGTAGTAGTAGTAGTAGTAGTAGTACTAGTAGTAGTAGTAGTAGTAGTAGTAGTAGTGGTAGTAGTAGTAGTCGTCGTCGTCGTCGTAGTAGTCGTAGTCGTAGTCGTAGTCGTAGTCGTAGTCGTAGTCGTAGTCGTAGTCGTCGTAGTAGTTGTAGTAGTAGTACGTAGTAGTAGTAGTCGTAGTAGTAGTTGTGGATGTAGTAGAAGTAGTTGTTGTTGTTGTAGGAGGAGGAGGAGGAGGAGTGTTAAATCTGTCAGAATACCAAGCCACGCCGAGACACCCCGCTTCCAAACCGACACATTGAATAACCATAGCTACTCAGCTATGCTCGTTTTTTACTGCAAAACTCGAATATTGATTAATGATAACAACTTACCGGCCCCCCCCCCCTCCCCCCCACAACCAGGCAAGGCAATTCGTGTTCCCTTCCCCCCCCCACCCCAAACCGGCGAATTCGCCCGCGTGAACCGGGGAATTTAACCCCCCTCCCCCTCCAGATTGATGTTGATTTTATGCCTCTCCGGTAAAAGCAAGACTAGACTCAAGCTTGCTGTGCGAGCTTTCGTGATTAGCACAGCCACAAGCGAAATCTCTCTGTCCATACTTTACCTCCACCCCCCAACCGCCTGCAAAGTCGTCGTCTTGTGCGCTCCGCACCCGCTGCTAATAATTGGGCCTTCATGCAAAGACTACTCACCTGACCGAGCCGAGGCGACACCTAGCAGACCTAGCATTTGAATTGCTCTGCGCTGTTTGTGGATAACTCTTTAGATGTATGACTCTGAGGCTTGCGACACTCATTCATGATACTCTGGGCTACCGTCCGAGCCGCACATGCGTTCCCATCTCCTCCCTGCCAAGTCTCCCAGACACCATCGTCGCGTCGTACGAACACCAAGGATGTGGTTGCCACTGCCAGAGCAAGCCAGAACACCTTCACACTTGATTCAACTAACAGATGTCGGCCCGCTGTGTGCAGAAGCAGAATCAATACGACTGATTAGCAGCGAATCGGCCCTCACTGAACCCTGGTCAGACCTCAACCGAAAATTGCATGAACGGGCGTTACAGATGCCAGGGCAAACGGAGGTGAATTGAAAGACAAAGCCAAGAGACATCAGACGCACTGTCGGCGGTGCCTGGCGGCAGATGTGGCTGAGCTGAGTGTAGCTAACAAAGGTCCGCCACATCTGGACTTGGACACGTGAGGTGGCCCCTTCGGCAAACGGAGCCTCCTTGAGCCCAGACAAACTTGCCAGGATACTTCTCTCTTCTTTGAGCGCGGGGGCAAGTTCTGCGAGCAGCCGCCTGAAAATGAACGATCAACTTCGCGTCACGGCGCAGATCGCAAGCCCACTGCCGACTTGGAATGCAAGATGGGCTTAATTCTACCAGATTGTGTTGAATGTGCGACAGCAAGTGGCGGGAGCCCTTCATTTGCCAAGGCACAAAACTGGTCGCTTGTCCAATTGACGCTTGGTCCGGCCTGAAGCGCACTTGTGCCAGACTCCCTCGTGGCGAATGGCGATGTCTTGGGATACAGCCAGCAAGCAGCCCAGAGACCTGCCTTGACTCCGCTCCGGACGAGGAGTATGCGAAGTGCCGGAGACGGACAGGCGCGCGGTCTTCAACCTGACAGTAAAGCAACTGGCCAAACTCGTGTTTTGTGCTCCAAGAACATTCTGTTCGTGTCTCCAGGCCTCGACTCGTTCAAACTGTTTCGTCGCTGCTTCAGCTCTGCAGGAGGTATGCTTTGGTCCGCCATGCCTGGGATTCACTTGCAGGTAGCTCCTGCAATGCTCTCCGCAGCAAACTGATTGTCAACAAGGCTCGTCGCGTCTCAGAACAGAACGCAAGATCCATGTACTGAGCCAAAACAGCCGCGATGATCCAAGATTCTACTGCATGCACGGCTGCGCGTGACTGCCCACATCCGTCCTGTAACTCTTTGCATATGCTGTCCGATTCTGAATGGTGTGGAAGTCCGACAGCTGAACGGCCAAAGCCTGTGCAATCAAGGGACATCTAAAGAAATTACAGACAGACAAAGCACGGACAAAACACATGAGTGCTCAGATAGTTCAACTGTCTGCTTACACTGTCGCTCTGCAAGCAAGAGCAACGTCGCACCCAGGCCTTCTTGCTCTGGAGAATCATCTGCGTTCCCTTGCACTGCCTGCACAAACGGCATTACAAACACCCACGATTCATTGCACGCGTTTTCGCCCAATGCGATGACCAAAAGCATTCTTTGCTGCCTGCAGAACCAGAGCAGTGCATAGTTGAACCTGCACGACCGCGGAAGGTTGCTCTCGCATCTTCTTTGGAGTGCGGTCCGACGCAGCACTCGGATGCACTCGGCCATACCACAATGGAGTCTCAGGTCTCTGTGAATTGCATCAACTCTCTGGGCTTTGGACAGCAGGCCAGAGTGCACTTGGAGACAGCGCCAAGTCTCGTAAGGACCGGCTGAGAAGCAAAGCTGCAGCAGTCGGCAACAAGACCTTGGACAAGAGTGAAACCAGGCAGTGGCCGGCGTTCTTGCCAGGACTGGGGCCAGGGCATCTGCCGGTTCTGCCGCCCTTCATACGTTGCCGAATCCAACCGTCTCTGCAGTCACACTGACAAGTCCAACGTGGGCGCCGCACCCTTGTGAAGCAGTTGTTGGCTCATGCTCTTGCAGCGGTGCGCTGTCCAGTACAGCTTGCGTGCCTGGCAACAGCCGTGGCGATGTACAGAGCAAGGGGCAGCAGAACACAGTTGACTAGGGGCGGCGCGTCCCGACTTGTGTAGTATTATGATCAGGCCCAGAACTTGCCGAGTTCGATCCATCACATCCAAGAGCTCCAGCATTGCCCTGACACTGCAACAGTGGCGGTGGCTTGCATTCGACAAGTCCTCACATAAGAGTATCGACAAAAGGTGGGGCTTCTCAAATTGCCCGCTGCTCACTCAAACCATCATAAGCCTCGGGAAACACCTGTTCAACAAGTCATTTGATTCGGGAACTGGTCGAACGTGTCATACTGACGGGATCTTCAGGTGAGAGTGCGTGCACCACTGAAACTGGGTCGGTGCGAAGTCTCCGGCTTTTCCGCAAGCTTTGATTAGGTGGAAGTGACTCGGAAGGAAGGCTCTGAGATACTGGACATATCAACATACGTGGACATGTGAGCCTACCCCCGTCATTCAAGGTGTTCTGCAGAGAGCAGAGTTCCAACTTCATAACAATGTCAAACAAAAAGATGATGATGCAAACAAAACCTTTCGGTGAACCAATGCAAACTAGCTGGTGGTAATACTAAAGGCCACAACTGGAAGCCTAAAACAGAGCACGAAGACACGTTTTGCACATGTTTCGCCCAGGCATAGCAGAGCAACACGACTGACATGATCAATGCCTCTTACCAACTATGTCAATTGAAGAACGAGGCCACAAAATTTGAAGACACACAGAATTGCACCGAAAGCTGGCCGAAAGCTCAGCCGTGATTGTGTCGTACCGGACTGCAGTGCATGTCTGTGTCAAACATGTTCTGATCCTCACCGTCTGTTGTGATTGAGAATAATTTGGGTCTGCTTGTTGCTCCCACTGCCTTCCATCCGCGTTTCACAACTAGGTATCAGATGTTCGAAACAACGACTAATGATTTAGACCATGAAACCTATTCTTAGAGTCTATAGAGTTTCGCACATCGTCATCAACACATACATGGACACTACTCTATCGGTTTGCGCTTTCACTGTCCAGGTCGTTTCACTCTGCAAACTGAGGGCCTCTAGGCCGTTGGGGCACAAGTGAGGCCCACCACTGGGTGAGGACGGACCAGCTTGAGATGGCTGAGTATCTTCAGCAGCAATGGCTGAAGGCCAACCAGCCATCATCATCACAACCGTCATCATCGTCCTAATCAAAACATCATCCCGCTTCCAAAACAATGGAGAGAGGCTGGTGTCGAAGGTGTGTCCGGATCGTGCGCACGCAGTGCACATGCTATGCCTCTGCTGGGGGTATTCACACAGACAGTCTAGGCTCCTTCTTGTCGTTAGCACATGTTAACAGTTAACACCACTTCTCGCACTGCGCTTTGCTGGCTGCAAGTTACTGCAAGGACGGCGATGGGGTTCGCTGGGCTCTCGCCGGATGCCGGCGATGGGAACTAGACTTTCCAGACAGGACAGCTGGGAAACTGACGCTCGATTGACGCGTCAAACGCAGGCAGCGCTTGCACCACACTTAGCGTTCGAAACGCTCTACTTCCCAGCGACTGCCAGAGCAGCGATGTGCGGGCTGGATCATCGATCAGGGCCGTAGTCATGATGGAAAGCGACGGGCACGAAGCTATGCTGAAGGGCTGTGTTAGATCACTGCAGAAATGTGGCTGCACGATCGCGGGAGGAAGCAAACAGTGTTCATCAACGTTGTCATCTTTGTGAGACGGGGCCCAGGGGTCCCAGCGGATTTTAGGTGAACAGACACCGCATCAACCGAGGAAGCCGTCAATTTCGAGGACAAATGGCACCCGGACAACTGACAATCCATGAGAGAGTCTCATCCTAATCCCTGTCTTGCCCTTCAGCATAGTCAAAGTGTCATTATCCTCGTCATACTGACCCTCATCCTTATCCTCGTCACCATCATCATCAGGATATTATCGCCATATTGAGCCACTCGGTTCCAACGGCGCAACGGTCACGCTTTGGGCACAGTCGGAGAGTGCGGGAGCGGCAGAAGGGTTATCTCTTGAGAGCACAAACGTCGCGATTGCTCGGCCTCCGAGGCTTCCTCTAGGACCCCACGCGGAACAAGAAGAGGGTTCTCTTTTCGTGATCCGTGAGACCGAAGGTGACGATCGTAGGCACCAAGCGCAGCAAACAGGTTTTGCACGGTTTTGTCATGCTGCAAGGTCATGCATTCTCGAGATTCGGGATTATCCGAGGTCCAAGAGCGACTCGACACAAAGACTTGCACAGATGTCGAGATCGACGTGGCGTTCCCGCTAGAAGGGCTGGCACGCTTTATGCCGCGCTGCTCGGTGCTAAGCCAGAGGAGTGCAGGAACTGAGGAACATTGGCAACAAAGCACTGGTCGTGTGTCCTCGTCGGTAGGTACATGAACATGTTGACGGCAGAATTTCTGCTTACCTGCTTGATTGCTCCGAATCATGGTTTGAAGGATAGAGCACGAAGTCGTCTCCTGCAGGCTATCTGCATGCTGTTCTCGAGCAAAACAACAAGCTAGCACTTCTGGTTTTGAGACAGCCTCGCTGCCTGCACTCTGTCCCGCAGCCTAACTTTCTTTTTCATTCAGATGCTGCTCCGACTATTTTCGGATCCACGGTTCCAAGTGCTCTATCGCAGGTACATTAAGCATTGACGCACTTCCGTTTCTGAGACTACCTCCTGGCAGTTGCTGCAGCGGCGATGTGCTTTCACAGCCTGATGCATGTAGAATCTACTCCTACTGCTCCAATTTATATATACCGATGTTTTTGCCGAAAGTGCCCCAGCCGACAAAGCTTCCCGTTATGTTATGTCAGACTGGACAGACACTGGTCCGTCCAACTGCCACATGGCTCAGCGCTTGCTTGACTGAGGCGAGCAAAACGACCTTCTGTGAAATGTGACCGCTGCTGCTAGACTACTGTGCTGACGAAAAGTTTTAAGCAAATCACGTGTCACGACTCTGACCCAACATCGAAATAGACTGAGAACCGAGTCATTCTCTTAGCATAACGAGGATCAATGTTAGCTCTTTTCGTGCGTTTGGCACTGAGTTGAATACTGTCGGTATGAAGCACCTGGACAGTCACAAAACAATTCGCTTCGATGCAAGAAGGCTGTTGGATGCGGAGTCCACTTGTTGCCCGGTGGTCCAGAGCACGGTTGACCGGCTGACTGCTCAATGCCCTGTGCCAGTACGCTTCAAATCTTGCCCGTGCGCCTTCTCACGCGCGCTTGTGCTGAGTCGCAGCTGGACGGTGCATGCGCAGCCTGCAGCATGCTCACAGCTTGCTAACTTAGCTAAACCAGCATCCCCATGCAGCTTCCCACGCAGTGGTAGGAAAGGGGTAAGACCACACATCACATCGCAACCAGGCAAGACACTCAGACGAGTCCCAACCGCAAAAGAGTGTCAGACTATGTGATCTGCTTGAAAGGCAGTGCAAGGAAAATCCAATCCATCTGCAATACCTGAGAATGACATGTTCTCATCCCGAATCCATCTCAATTCAACACACTTGGATAATAGAAACGACAGCGGTCCGTCAAGAAGTTTGCATTCTGTGACATCGGACCAGATGGTACATGACCATGCCTGCGTATTTATTTCGTTGTCTTCAGGCAGCAAACCCTGCATTTCTGCATTAGTCCACCTCAGTACGTTTCACGTAGAGCTGCGCACGCATCGCCGCTGAGCAGGGTGTGCCGAACGGCACCTGCCCATCAACGGGAGACCAACAACCACGTCACCTCATTCACATGCAGTCGGTATGCCCTTGGACTTGCCTGTTCTTCGGCATTGTGCGCCAGCCCCTGGCGATGGCTGCCAACATTCATATTGACTGTCACATGTCTCATGACACACTGCAGGCGATCTGCACGCACCGGTTCATTTAGATTCCACGACGGCCTTTGCCACGAACTGGATCACTGGCTGAAGCTGCGAGAAGATTTTTCTCGCGGCCAATTCACCTACGAGCCGATCTGGTGCGCACACAGCGTAGCGGCGTAGCCTGGAAGGGGGCCCGAACTGATCGCGACAATCGGGGGCGAAGCACACCTGCAAAGAAGGCACACTCATGGATAATTCATACAACGCTCCGATGCACGCTGGCGTGGCTGTGCCGAACCGGGGCACCCGTCCCCGTCCTTCGTCTCTTGCGGCACAGGCTGAGCGGCAGCGAAGGGACCTCCACGACACGGGCCTGCCATTGGAAGCGATCACATTCGTTTCGAGGCGCATCTCTGAGGCTCCCTGCCGGTGCCAAGAGCACGGGCCGAGTCCAAACACTGCGCAGCGTCTCCGACAGAAAACGCAATAGTCCCGAAGGCCAGCGACCTCTGAAGGAACACGGAGGCACATTGGACATGGACCAACAACAAACTATGCCAAGCACATCAAGCACCTTTCTTAAGCAGCTCACCCAGGATCATCTTTGGAACCTCGCTTCGACTGCTGAGCGACCCTGCATCTCGCTCAACTCTATGAGTGCCCTTGCATCAACTCGTGCATGTTGTGTTGCAGAAGTTTGCTTGGCCATGACGGCTTGTTCGAGAAAGCAAGTGCTGTCGAAAGCTGAAAAAAGCTTAACGGTGCGAATTCTCTGTGGTAGTTAGGTAGTTAAGGCTATCCTGCAAAGTCTGTGTCGATGCTTTTCAACTTCCACTCACTTCGACACCGCAGACACGGTCCGGCAGCTGTTTGCCTGCTCGTCGGTGACGACGAGTCACGAAAGAGGTGTTTGCTATGAGTTGTGAAGGACTAAACGTGGGGTGCCTTGAGTGGGCGCGGGTGCGATCGTGCGGGTGTGGGCACAGGCACAGTGGGTGTGGGTGTGGGTGTGGATGTTGGTGTGCGCGTACGGGTGCGGTGCGGGTGCGGGTGCGGGTGTGGTTGCGCGTGTGCGTGTGGGTGTGGGTGCAGGTGGCGGGTGCCGGTGTGGGCGTGGATGCAGGTGCGGGTGTGGGTGTGGGAGGGGATGTGGGTGCACGGTGCAGGTTTGGGTGTGGGTCTGTGGGTGGGTGGCTGGGCGGTACATGGGTGCGTTATAAGGTGCATTGGTGCATGGGTGCGTGGGTGTGTGCCTGCGTTCTTTCACGCGGTCCCGCATTGAACGTATGGAATGTTTGGGCGGGGTCTGCGTCTCACAAGAAATGGACTCACCACCGGATGCCATGGCACACCCCTATGTGGTGGTGCATGAGGTGCTGCCGAGACTACTACAAGAAAGCAAACTCTGCTTCGATGTTTATCGAAACACCTGAAATGTTTTCTGAGCATCAAAGTATACGCTAGCACACACTGTCGTTCCTCGACGGGGGGCAGGGAGAGACGTATATGACAAACAAAAGACAAAAGCTCAGCGAGCATGCTGCATCATGCGAGTCATGCCAGGTTCTGGCAAATGCTTGCGAAAACAAACGCATTCTGTTTGCATCTTCGCACATGTAGCTGAACCCTCACGATTAGACACGGGGCTCTGGCAGCCTGGTTTAGAAGTTGCGCGCGTCGCTGCTCCTCGAAGGTCGGGAACCGCGCGTCGTCGAGGCTCCAGCACCAGTCCTTGGAATGGCAATCCCCCGCGGGCCAAAAGCTCGGGATCCCGCCCCAGGCCAAGAGCTACACGTATTGGATCCGGCTGCCTCGCCCGCATCTAATGGTGAAAGAAGAAAAAAAGGCCTCTGCTAAGTTGCTATAAGTGAACGCTGAGCGCCTGTGACTCCACCAGACGCCGCGCCGGAAGTTAAGGACTGAAGAAATAGGCAACATTCCGCTGCTTCCGCCGGTGCTCTCTTCGCTGCCGATGCCTGGAATGGAAGCTCGTTTTCATTTTCCAGACCCGGCCTGCGGCCCTGCAAAGATCGTTCGAGACGCGTTGATACATACACTACAGTGCTGGAGTTCTCGAAGCCCTTGCCTGGTGCCCAATGGTCACCGTCTGCACACGGTCAGCCAGGAGGACAGCGAATTTCTGGCCTAATCATGCATGTCACGGAGGCATTTCCTGATGCCCGTTGAGCGAGGTCCGTCGTATGCACCCGGCAAGTAGGTTGTGATTCTTCTTGAGCAATGGCCAGCACTGGAGCATCAAAACTGAGCATACCCTGACCAAACCAGGGCCACAACACGAAACAGTCAGCAGCTTTGAATGGAACTCCATGTCGCGAACGTCCACTCTCCAGTCTGAATAACACATGCACAAAGACTGGCTACCATCCTCAAGGCGAAAGTCGTGCTGCTATGGCTATGGACTACATGCAGTATGGGCAGACGACAGGTCTGTTTTAGAAAGTGGGGCAGAGGTACATCCACTTCAATCACAAGCTGATCAAACCATGCCTGCATCTCCACTGCCTGGTTGGGACCTCTGCTAGGGTACATTAGATTCACACAGTTTCGCAGTGCAGTGCAGCTCTTGATCGTGGCTCGGGCTCACTGGCTGGAAGTCGTGTGGCACGCCATTCAGCCGAACCGACCTGAAGAGAAGATGGCAGCCAACGAGCTGCGACGAGGTGTGCTTTCGGAAGACCGAGTTTGGTACACTGCGAGATCTGATGCTGATGCGCCGGCCCTTCGCAAAGCTGCACACAGCCAAACGGAGCCCAGTGTCGAAGCACCTCGGAAGGTTTCGTTTCCCAATGGCGGAATTTGAGAACTTGAACAGAGGCCACGAAAGCTAGGGCAACAAAAGGAAGGAGAGTCGACAGAGCTCGGTCGCTGTTGCGTGCATGCTCGGCAAGGGATGCAAGCACATATGTATTGCCATGAAGATGAAACCTGCAAGATGATAGCGTTCCTCTGCTTACACTGGCCCACATACACATACAACCTCGTCGTGCCGAAGTACCGTGACCGACTACATTGGCTTTCGGAAGGTCCGTGCATAAGCAATAACTCGGTCATCTCCGAGCAGCTTCGAACTGTCCTGGTGGCAGCTTAGCTAATTTCATCTCAATTCTGAGGCACCAGACTTGAAACCTGCTACGTAGACGCACTCGGCCGCGTAAAGACAAAATGCAAGTTGCCATGTTGCGTAAACGGATGGACCTTAAGGTGACGGTGGAAGGGGGAGGATCTAAGGAGATGGGGCCCCAGTACAATGCCGCTGCCACCTTGTTGTACGGGGGCCCCCCGGGGTGCGGGGCCCCTTCCTCAGCGCTCTGAATCAATCATTTGCGCGGTGGCCCATCGGGGGCCCCTCTGCTTACTAGTGCAAAGACCAGATAAGGCCTGGACACGATTTTGACCTAGTTCCCTACTACCTAGTGAATGATAAACGACAACTCTCGCAAGCTCTACAGAGCTAGCTTTCGTGTTAAGGTCCCTCACTTTCAATGACCTGTCTCATCAAATCAAGCTCGGGACCATCAGCACCAGGTGCGAAGAAGCATGGATCCGGATGCTCCTGGGAGCATCGTGCGTTGCCGTTCGCGTGCCCGCATCGTGTCAGCAGAGCTGTGTGTGTCGGGAGCAGAAACTGAGCCGCACTTCCTGCTTCTGTGTTCTGTGCGAGCCGCTCGGCGGAATCTGAAAAGTGCTTACACGTGGAGCACGAGGACACCGATTCCTGGCCAACCACCACTATGCCTGCAAGACTGAAGCTGCAGTGGTCCTCCAAACAAGAGATCCGCACACTTCGGCTCTCGTGGCTTTCAGGGCAGCTTGGACTTGATGACCAACAGCTGGCAAGATGTTGAAGCCTGCATACATCTTAGCAGTCCTCAAATGTGGTTGTTTCAATCTTTGCGCCATGAGCGATCTAAGAATCTAAGGCTTCGCGCCAGAAGCCATACTTTCGTCGAGTCGAACCTTCCACTCAGGAGCAAGCTGAAGCGTGCAAGACATCTGAACATAAACCTCCGCCCTGTCACCGTGTTCTGCTGCCCGCCTTCCACAGAGCAGACCTGACCATGCATGGATGCACGCATCCGTGAATACGTACATGGACATTACGTACTCGATTCGCGGTGAGCTGCAAAATGTAGTCGCTCTCCGGCAATGGTCGTGGCATCCAGGAGAAGCTGGCCAGTCGCACCTCATCGGGCAGGAGACTATCGCTGTAGGCTCTTGCCTCTTGCCCGCATGAGCCGGCCGCCCATCCAGCAGAACAGGTGCGTCAGCGTGAAGGATGCCAAAGAACCTGCAAGAAGGAGCCGTTGCTATTATTATAGTATGTATGCTCTATCCAGCCGGAATCTGGACCCTCTCGCCGCTCGCAAGCCAAAGCACCTCCCTTGCTTGTTCGGAAGCGAAGGAAAACCTCGTGATTTTTGTTTAGCTCCCTGGCTCCCTGAGACTAAAACGGCGGTCTGCTCGGGATGCGAAGTCCGATGCCGGAGCTTGCATGCATCTCCCCACCGTTCACACCCGACATCGGAAACTTGGTGGCCCTTCCAGATCTAGAGTGATGCCATACATGTGATCGCACCTTGAGTGATGGCTCGGACCTGGTCACGCAGAGCCGCGGCACTCAGCGAGGCCAGCTCTTCCATTGTGGAAGAACCTCGAGAAGTAGGTACGAGAAGAATATGCACGGCTTGCACTTCATGGCGCAGAGCAGGCATGCTGCCTCCAATCTGATCCATCACCCAGCACAGTCGTAGAGTTCCGACATCATCGCATGTGAGAATGTGGCCTGGCCCCAGCATCACAAAAGGGGCACTGCAAATGCTCTCTGTCCATGCTAAGACAGACCTGCGCAACATGTGATTCTGAGCTTTGCAGGCCTGCAGGACCACAGGATAGCAGCCGCAAGCGGCCAGGCTTCGGACTCTTCCACCAGCCTCTCGGAGACACATCGCCCAACACGACCCAAACCATCCCAGTCCCAGTCCCAGCCTGGTCCCACAGAATGTCGTAGCAGTCTGCACTTTGCGCGATACCAGCCAGCTTGCGAGCAGACGAGCTCATAGATGTGTGGTGCGCCAGACAATAGGAAAATGCGCCCACCCGGAGAAGAATGAATGGAATGGAATAAAGCACCCTCACATAAGGCACGAAAGCCCTGCAGAGGGACAAAATGTAAGCTGCTTTGGCTTTGGATTGGGTTGACTGGCACTCCTGGAATCCCAGCTCTGGCTGAAGATGTCCAGTCGCTCAGTGAAACATTAGCCGGAATAGGCGCGCTTGAAGCTCGAATCTCTTTTCGAGCGAAATTCACGCCGACAAGGCTGACTGATAGCCTGGTGGCAATTACCAGCACCCAGCGCGGCTGCTGAGTTTCAAAAATCCCCGATTTGGCCGGGCACAGTGCAACCGTGATGATTGCAGAATCGCCCGGGACCGAGTGAACACTCGGGGACATGTCCGAGTAGTCCCACAAATACCTCGCGACGCATGTCCAACACTATGCCTTACACTGCCTCACGCCTTTTCATGCGGCCCTGCAACGATTCTTGTATGCAGTAAAGCTGCAACACGTCATCTGAGGACGCCCAGGCCAGTCCTTCGGCAAACAACCCACAGTTTGCACGCTGCCGCGCGCGGCCAAAGGCTTCCCGCACTTTGCCAGGTATTGGTGACCTGCAGCAGAAGGTCCACTCAACAAAGTCAAGTGAGCGGATGCCGGGCGAAAGGCTTTGCATGTTGGGCCCGATTTCGTTCAAATTGTTTTCCATTTAGGGCAGCTCCTGATTTTGCAGTTTGTCGAAGATGCCATTCCATGCACACCGCACGTACACAGACACACACACGCGCACACACACACACAAAGACGCATACACACACATATATATATACACACACACGCACACACACACACACGCGCGCGCACACGCGCACACGCGCACACACACACACAAACAGTCTCTTGCTTGTTCTTCTTGGACTTGCTTAGCATCATACATGTTGGCTACGCTCAAACAACTCGTTCATGGAGCTTCAGCTGCCTACAGTTGTTGGCTTTGGCTTTGGGCCAGTCTTCGGCCTGCTACATTGGTTGCCATGCTGACATATCACTGCGACAACAGCCTTGGAAGCTCGCAAGGCCCGGCGAACAAGCCTGAAGTGGTTTTGACTTCAACATGGCTCCGTGCGGAACCCCTTCCAGCCCGTCAGCCTGAAAGCAGAACACATGAGTTTCGGATGCCACATATTGCCACATGTTTGCCAGAACCCAGCGACCTGGATGCATGCGTCAGCTCGGCTAGGCTGTGATCCCACTCCACAGTGTGAGCCGGGCCGACATTCTCCTGCTTATATTGCACCGCACACGCGACAAATGACGTGGAATGTTTCCCGGCTGTCTCTAAGGATGCCTGATACGAGCTCCATGACGAGGAGATTTTGCAAGACCATGCAAGAATAGATGTTCTCCCGTGAATCCCGAAGCCAGCATGACATGGTCCTCGGCAGGACTGCGAAATGCTTCTTCCAGGAGGCCAACTCCAAGGCCTCCGTCCATCTCTGCCTGCTGGCTATGGAGGACAGGCACCTTTTTTGTCAAGTAGACTGCAGATGTGCAGATGTCACTCCAGCAGATCCGAAGTGTTGGCGACGGCTTGGGCAATCATGGGTTTGGGCAGGGCACACCCATGCTTCGACTGGTCCGCCTACAGGGTGCCCTGGGTGCTTGATTTGCGCAGGGGCAGAGATTGCAGATGCGGGCACCATGTCCGGGCTCGCTTGTAGCTAAGCATGCCGAGAAGATCCGGTGTAAAATCTTGGAACCCTATCAGCCCGATCGCCAATGACAGAAGGCGAAAACTATGTTTGTTTCGGACCCTGTGCTCAACACGCTGTTCCTGGTAGTTTCACTGTCAAACTCGTCATCGTCAAAACGGTCCTGCGAAAACTAGGCATGAACGTGTTTGGTTTGACCAAAGCAGACTTGTTTCGGCAGTTCTGCAGACATGTACGTGTCAACCCCCTTCCCCTGTAGACTCCTCCACGAAGTACGGACTTGAGGCCTCGACCCTCGATCGTCCCCGTCTGAACAACAAGATTGTACATAGAACAGCGTAGAAACTCCTGCGTTGGCCAAGCCACGCACTGTGCACCTCGTAGCACTTTGTGTTGTTCGCCAACCAAACACATACCAGTGCGACAACACTCTCAAGACAGAGAAGACAATCTACAGACGACTGAACGATACAGTCCTGATGACTGAACGATACTGGGCGCTGCGGGCGCTGTGGGTTGCTGCTCCTTCTTCCAGCTGCGGTCATTAGATGTTCCTTGCCGTCACTGTTGGGCTTTCCTGGTATATGTCGTTTGTATGCTGCTGTCATCCAAGATCCTGAATACGAATCTTGTTTGCGAATGTCTGTATAAACAGTGTCAAAGTGTACATAAAGATGTTGGCGAAAGCTCGTGAATGGAACACACCCTCAATCTCGAGCGGCATGAGCGTTCAGTGAAGGGTATCTTTGAAAGGCGCCTCCACCTGCCCACGGTGTTGGGATATTCGGCTGGCACCACAAAGGGGGCAAACAAGGAAGGATCAACCCAAGCCGCCAGCCGCTACCCCTTCCTCGAGACCGTCCTGCGTTTTATTCCAAAGGCAACTCTCACGTGCCGTATACAAGTTACCTTGAACAGCACCCTCCCATAAGCCCAACAAACACCCCAGTCTCACCAGCATAAAATTGCTTTGCCACTGACTGCTACAAGCAGGCTGAACGTGGTAAGGCAACGGTCAATTAATCCGCCGAGGCCACAGGCCCAGGCGTTTTGGTGGTTACCTCAGGTACCCTCCACCTAATTCTTCTCTTTGCAGTTCAAATGTTTGGGGACACCCTGTTTTTGCGCTCGTTTGCCACCCCCTTGCCCGGCCTCCCCTCATTTTCTTTGATTTGCGGGCCTACCCGCCCCCTCCCAGGCCTCCTCCCCCCTCTTTTTTTCCTCCACCCCCCCCCCCTCCCCCCTCCCTCCCCTCCCCCCCTCCCCCCCTCCCCCTCCCCCCTCCTCCCCCCCCTTCCCCCCCCCCCCCCCCTCCCCCCCCCTCCCCCCCCTCCCCCCCTTTTTCTTCCCTCTTTCCTGCTCCCACTTCTTCTCCCCGCCCTCGTTTCGTCTTCCTCGCCCCCGCTTTGGCTTTTGCGTCGTCAATCCACTGCCTGTCTTTCTTTTCAGGCTCTTTCTCTGTTGTTTTTTCTTGCTCCGGGCGGCATGGCTGGAAGGCCTTTAACCGGTTACAGGCCCAGGCGTCTTGGTGGTTACCTCAGGTACCCTCCACCTAATCCTCCTCCCTGCAGTCCAAATGTTTGGGGACACCCGTTTTTTGCGCTCATTTGCCACCCCCTTGTCCGGCTCCCCCCCTCCCCGACACTCCCGCTTAGCATGCTGTATACAACATCCACTGCCGCCTCGCCCTGCCGCTACAGAGCCGAGGCGGGCGGCGTAGCGTTAAAATTAAATGTGACCTGCATGATGTGGTCGGAACCTGAGCTTGAAATTTACTTCGCTCTGAGGACATGTCAAAACGTGTCGGCAGAGTCTGCTTGCGTTTTTGACTATGGTTTCATCAAGATTGTAATCAGAAAGATTACACTACCCTTGCGTGCAACAGGGAAGTACGGAGGGGGGGAAGGCCGCGTGTTTAGAAGGCCATGTCTTTGATGAGGCCCTGTTCCATTTCGACAAGGTCATCGCAGGCCTCCATTGCATGATACTCGTGGCAGCCACCCCGCGTGGCTTGAAAATCCAGAAACTAGATCACCGTGGAGTCGTCGCAGCAATCCGTCTGCTTGATTGGCAACTCTGCTGTGCAGCTCGTGGATTATTTGCCTAGGAGTTCTTGAACAGTTGGGCTGCAACATGACCATGACCTATCCCGCTTCACCAGCTCTGGGCCACAAGGGTTACAGTTGGGAGCTGCCTTGCAGTGCCTCGCAGCGAAGGAATAAACAGTGAAACTGAGGACTAAGATCCCAGGGTGGCCAGCGAAGCGGCAGTGGAAAGCTGTGCTGCCATGAAGGGCTCTTCGCACAAAACATCGTCAAATTTCGTCACCATCGTCACCTCCCATTTTTCGAGCAACCGAATTTGGAAAGCGGAAGCTTCACCGGCGGGTTCCGATTAATTACAAGCTCGGCGTGGTGTCGGGCTGGGAATGTTTGGTGCTCTGAGCCTGGGTCGTGGGCGGTCCTGGCAGCCTTGACAGCACTGAGCGCAGCAGCACGAATCGACATCGCCCGAGATAATGTTCACCGTCTGGCGAACAATCATAGAACTGGAGCGCCTTTTCTGTATCACAACTTCTTGCGCAAGCTGCGACATGAAGAGGGATGCTTTGAATGACATGAAAAGTGGGTCTCCCAACCTGCTCTGGAAGCAGCATGTCCAGCTGTGGGAAGATCCGCTTCGCGGAAGATTGGCCTGCTTCCCGGCAAGTCGAGAAAATCCTGCACGCAACGGAAAGCCCTTTCAGCTGTGCTTACGATGCTTCGCATCATCAGAAAAACCAGGCACTCCGCGATCAAAACCTGCAAATATGTCGAGGTCCTCGACAGCATCCATCTCCAACATCCTTCCTACTTTGATGGAATGCTCGCGTACTAGGAACTAATGCTGTCTGCGGCGGACGAAAAAGGTCACTACGCACTACACGAATCTGCGGCTGCTGCGGCGCATGGCGGCGCTAGCGCCTGACAGCCGCACCGGCTGGAGCCTGGCCTATGTAGCCAGGCGCCCCGGCAGGCGCGGCCGCAATGGGTGACATAGGCCGTGCCAAAGGAAAAGCCGGAGCCCCTGAAACCACCTGGCCCTGCAGCTTCGTCGGTGTTATACCAACTCCAACTGGAAGGGCCGGGGTGGTGCGATTGAGAAGAAACCTTCGAGGAAGGACGCTGTCACAACGACCGTCTACTTGGCTGCCAGCGCTGACAGCACCTGGTGAAGCTGGGTGCTTGACCACCCTCACGCCCCTGCTGGCAACCTGTGGCGAGGAGACTCGTCCAGGAGACAAGTGGCGCATCTGATCTTCCAGTTTTTCGGCAGACATCCGACCTGCCAAACCAGCAGCAGCAGGCAAATTTACTCAGCCCATACCCGATACAAACTAGCGCCAGAAGGCACAAACATCCAGTGCAGCCGCGCAGTCGTTGCTGACATGCTGGCTGTGGCATCTGCAGTGTGCTGACTTGGCCCAACACAATGCCCTGCACGCGTTACATGCATAACGGAGACCTGTTGCCAACACCAACCCCTTTTCTGCAACCAAACTGGCGAGTGTCTGGTTCGGCCTTCCATTTTGGACGTCTGCTGGTCCTGTACTCGCGCATCACAGAAAGCTTACTTCATTCACTCTGGGAAAAGACCACTTCGGCGTATGCGAATTCCCGACGTGCACTCTTCTACTCAGAGCAGAGCTCTTGCGTCCAATCGGGTGGGGCTCTTCAGACAAACTCTGCTCGACTGGGATCTGTGGGCTTACGTGAATGCCCGCAGCTACATCGCAAAACCATCTTCTGCATCCCACGAGCTTTCGTTTTGTGCTTCAGCAGAGTAGGAAAGGCACGGTGTTGCATCCAGCATCAGAAAAGAACTTCGAGAAGGAACGGACATAGTCTCATGTGCAAGCAGACCAGGATGCCCGACGGAACCTCAACCATTCTTCGCTAACCATCGCATTCTGTTCTCCCATCAGTTTTTCTAGAACGTCGGTGGGCAAGAATTCACGTTGTGAGAGAAGGTCCAACAAGGTTCGCGCACGCATGGCATCGAGTAAATACAAATCCAATAACTTTCGACCATTCCGAAACCTACTCAGCTAGCCTTTGTGGTCCATTCATGTTCCGAGTCGATTCATGTTTCGAGCGAAGGGCAAGCCGACCCAATCTTGCTCATACAATCCTGCTACCAGTATGTTGCATTATGCCGGCCGCCACGGAGGCAAGTTCAGGCACACTGCAACGTCGTTTCTTTGAGCGCAAGTTCATTAACAATCTCCTGCCGCCACTCTGCCAACATGCGGTCGAGCTGATGGAAGCGCTCCTCAGCCTGCACATGTTGACTCGCAACTTTCTGAGGAAAGCGGGGGTTCTCGCTTGATCCGTGGTTAAAGCGTTTGTCATGTACGGCTGGAAATAGGGCGAGGCATGCAATCATTGTAGGGAACCGATGCAGGTGGATCGCATTCAACGGCATCAAAACGGACATGTAGCTTCTGCACCGTTCCGATGCTGCGCAGCCACTTGATTCGCTGCTCAACGGTAAACAGGTTCCGGGTTCCAGGCTAATCTTCGCAATGTAGCATGTAGAACGTTGCAGCCCTGGATGTTCTCAGCACAACATACAGATACACATACACGAACACACACACACACACACATGTATGTGTGTATATTTCTATGTACATATATATATATATATACATATATATATATATATATATATATATATGTATGTATTTATTTGGGGTCCCCCCCCCCCCCCCCGCCCCACCTCCCCCACGAGCTACCCACCCTCGTTTTGCATCGAAAATACCGTGTCAATTCAGCTGTCCCGGCAGGTCCGGATTCTGTATCTCTCAAAGACTACCAAATATAAACCCCGATTTCAATAGACTATGCCAGCCAACACGTGCAGGTTAACGTCAGCGCGCACTCCAATGCAACACTGTGCACTTCCAATTAATACTGACTTTGCTAGGGAAAACCAAAAAACACTAAAACCATCTGTTGGGAAACTATATGGCCAAGCTCTCAAAAGACTTTTTTGTTTTCCCTGGGAAAAAGTTGGTTTCGGTGTGGAAAACAAAACTCTTCCAAGTAAAAGATGGTTTTGGACCGGATAACCACCGTTTTCCGAGGGAAAACCACCCAAAAAAAAACTTTTGGGAAACGATGCGGCCAAAGTCCAAAAAGATAGGTTTCTTTGGTTTCTGGTTTCCATAGGAAAAAAAGTTTTTCGGCCCAGCTAGGAAAAAAGTTTGATTTTGGACGGCGACTATTACGGTCACCATTGACATAGAGGCGAATGGCAAGGACGGGGTTCGGGTTGGTGTTGCTTGGAATCAGGAGTCAGTTAACGATTGTCGTCACTATGTTGGCATCTAGTACAGGTTTAACATTAGACATTAATGCACATACGCGCTCACCGGCAAATCCGACAGCAAGTAAAGCATGATCATGTACTACAGTGAGAAGGGGGTGTCATATACAGCATGTTGAGGTAAACAAACACATGCTTTTCTCATCCCTAAAATTCTAGGGACCATCATTTGGGCAACGCCAGAGCGAAGACAGCAAGGATCGTGGTGCTTAGTGGAAGTCGTTTTGTGTAGTTTAATATGAGCATGAATATGACTGCTACCGTTGAAGTAAATGTCTGGGCAGTATTGAGCTTACCTGCATAAATCGAAACAGTATCTAGTATTGAGTATTGGGGATGCCGTGAGTTTTAAGTTCGGAGTCTCAAATGCTCATGCTCGGGATACCACAGCTACGTCTGAATTAATTTTCTCCTGAAGGCCATTACTTGGGTGGCTGTTGAGGGAAGTATCCGGTACAATACGAAGGGTTACCAATGGTAACAACTTATGGGTGACATTAAGTTTGCGAGTAAGGTCCATCTTGGAGTCAGATCCTATATTAGGGTTGCCAAGCGGACTGCAATATCCTTACTACCAGGGGGCCAATCAGGCTGAAAAAGTTATCAACCTTCAGGTCGATATAGAAGTTTAATATGGGGATGTATAATGAGGTTACTAGTCGGCATAGCTTTGTAACCCATACGAACTAAGATTTTTTATCAATAATGCATCTCTTTTGGGTGAACATAAGACAGGATACTACTGCCACCATTCGGGCCAATGTAAAGGTGTAGTGGCAGGTTAGTCTTAGGGATACTGTTGTTTGGGGGGGAATAGGAGTCAGCCAAGGCTCACGGTCACTCATAGGCTTTGATATGAAACTACAATGCAGAGGGTTAGCATATATATATATATATGTGTGTGTAAACATACATACATACATACATAAATACATGCATGCATGCATACATACATCCGTCCATGCGCATATATATATATATATATATATATATATATGTATATATGTATATGTATATATATATATATATTATAGATGTATATGTGTATGTGTGTATATCTGTATATGTGTATATGTTTATATGTGCATATGTGTATATATATATATATATATATATGTATATGTATATGTAAAGCAAACATACACGCATACATACACACATACGTACATACACCCATGCGTACATGCATACGTTACAGGCTCGCGCAGGCACATATAAATGCATACGTGTACATATACAGACATCCACTTACACACGTACCCAATCATACACATGCAAATACATACACACACCTGCACACACATACATAATATAACTACATATACAAAAGTTATACAAACATAGACATACGTACTCAAACATACACATATACATACATGTACATACATATGCATCAATAGACATATATCATAATATATGATACAATATGATAACATATAATAACATATAATCATATAATATACATATATATATATATATGGACATAAAAAGGCAGACTCACACCCGACCATACATACATCCACACGTTCGGCCGCAAGCACAAACACACAGACACACACACACACACAACAAAAAAATGTCACTTGCTCCGGTATGCCCTGCTGCCTGTTTGTCCCCGGCCGTCCTGTTCCGTGTGGGCGGGTGGCTTTGTTCTGCAATTCTCCGTCGTGTTTGGTTGTGTTTCATGGTTATGCGGTGAAATTGTCTTGACCTGGGTTTCTTTCCCTCGATGAGAGTTGAGACGCCTATGTTGTGGTTTACGCGCTCTGGCGTGGTTCTCCCCGGTCAGAAAAACTGGTTCTCACACGGATCATGACATTAACACGCATCGCCTCACCCCCATCGTTGCTTTTCTTTGGTGGCGGGATCTGCTCCCGGTGCGAACCATATCCGCAATCTGCTGCGACAAAAGCCAGAGGCAGTGATGCAAAAAGCGCCCAAACGTACCAACCAGTGCTGTCATGTTTTGGCCCGCATGTCGAAAACTTGCGGACATTATGTGGAACGGACAGCAAGAGGTCCAATCCCAACGACGAATGGCATGTTTACAGCTACTAGTACGATCCCAAACTTTGGTGGGGGTGCCACGGCGGGGTCTCCGAGTGAGGGAGCAGACAGACAGACAGACAGACAGATAGACAGACGGACAGACAGACAGACATTGCTTACCTACCTGCCTGCCTACCTACGTACATACATGATTACATGATGTTACATGCGCACACACACTCATGATACGCGTACTTGCACAGGTGCACGGTTACCCTACACAGTCGTAGAAAAGCTCGAAGTCAGCATCACAGCCTCACATTTCACGAAATGCTCGAGCTCGGACTTCAAGGACCTATATCCGATGAAGACTCTATACTGCCAGGCAAATACACTGCACAGCTCTGTGGACACAGTGATCGAAAAGACTCGTTCCCGAGTCTCCAACTTGCAGAGGGACTCCAGCTCTGCGAAACCTAAGACACTTTCAGGTGGCAAAACTGAGCAGCGCGTCATTACTGTAAACCATCTTGATGGTCATTGATGATGAAGACATCGTGATTTTCACGGCCGTGCCGGTTTGTAGTGCTTGCACAGGAGACACGGTGTCATGCACAAGCAAATTCTCTGTTTGAGCTCACTATCACTGGTCAGAGTTCAAAAGCTGATTCATGCCAAGACACGATTGTCCAGATCTCCATGTTCGCACATAGACGATTCCGCTTCCTTGCATACCTGCATCGAGAAACAGAAGTAAGTCAGATTCTAAAGGGGTTTACTGTTCAAGGTTTCTGGTTCTGGCTTTCCGGATTTTGGGGTTTCGGCGCTCACACTCGGACAATCCAGGCGAAGCATATGGTTCGGAGTCTGACAAATTGAAACAAATTTTTGGGGTTTGGGGCTTGGGGGTTTTGGGTTCGATTCTTCTGGTGTCTGGCTTCCCGGATTTTGGTCTGGCCAGCGGTAATGCCGATGGCGCCACCCTTTCTTTTCCCTGACTGCTAGTGGCTATGCCAGTGGCAACATGGGCGGAGCCTGCCGCACACCACGTAGCTTCTAGCCATCACAGAGACTGGGGTGGCAAGGCATTCTAGATATCCAAGCTGCCGGAGCATGCCTGACCCCCCGGCCCATGAACTTCCTGACAAGACCCCCCCCCATCAGGGGGACCCTCAATCCACACTTTTTTCTCACAGGCGGCTGGACCCTACAGGCCCCGGTTGTGGGGGCCCTCCTGTCTTCTCCTTCTCTTCCTCCTCTCTTCTGCCAAACCTTAGCTTATAGGAGGATGTCGGGAGGGGGAACACCCCCCGGCTTCTTGGCCACAAAGGGAAGTAACAATGCGGGCCCGCGCTCCTCCACCGTCGTACCCCGTGGGGGTTCTAGCAGCGGTGACCGGTGAATCGGATGACGCGTGCCGGAAACTGAAGGGAAAAAGCGGCAGGGCGGGGTGGGCGGGAGAAAACGGATCTGTTCCTTGGTCGGGACCCCTCGAGCCGCAGGTTAAAGCAGGCTCCGGAATCATAGGGAACCCTGCGTGCATTGCACGACAACCGTGTGAGCGAGGGGATCCGCCAGCCCTGGCGGCAGGAAGACGATCCTTGCGCGGGCCGGATCTCCGAAGGCACTGCCGCCAACCTGGCCGCGAAGAGGACCGCCCTTCCATCAAAGGTACGCCACGGTCTCGGCACTGGCGACACCTTCAGCACCCTGCGATCCCTTCGCCCCCACCTGTTCCAAGATTCTTTTCTCGTTCCGGGTCCTCAGTCATATCACCCCCTCCCGGCCTCCGCCTCCCTTGAATGGGGGGCCGGTCGGTGCTCTTTCAATCTCCTTTCTCCAGCCTTGGACTGCGTGGGCGCAGCCCCTGCAGCTTTGCCCCCGCGGGCCCTTAAGCCGCCGCTGAGACGCGTCGCGGTGTACCGATCGGGAGCTGGCCTGTTGGCGGTGGGGTGCGGGACCTGACCAAGTGGGGCCCGCCGCATCCGGCTTCGTCACCACGCCCGATCTGGAGAACCCGGTGGAACACACTCTCCGACTCTGCTCCAAAGCAGAATGCCTGCTCTGCTACCCTTCCCTTTTTCGGGGGCCCGTTAATCTTTGCCAGTGGCATCCTAGGACCCTTCCTTCCCAGCCCAGCAGGAGTGCGCAGCGGAAGCCAAGCAGCTGCAGGGCCTCGCTCACTCCGGCCACACCCGGCATTCTGACCACTCCTTCAGCACAATTGAGGGGCATGGGGGGCTGTCCCGAGCTCTCCTCGTGGCAGCCTCTGTGAGGTCGGGCACGATTGCCGAGCTGCGCGGGAAACCCATCAAAAAAAAACTTTTTTTCAATCAAAAAAAACTTTCAGCGAAAATCAAAAAAAACTTTTTCACCAATCAAGAAAAACTTTTTTCCAATCAAAAAAAACTTTCTCCATGTGTAGTAGTAGTAGTAGTAGTAGTAGTAGTAGTAATAGTAGTAGTAGTAGTAGCAGTAGCAGTAGTAGTAGTAGTAGTAGTAGTAGTAATAGTAGTAGTAGTAGTAGTTAGTAGTAGTAGTAGTAGTAGTAGTAGTAGTAGTAGTAGTAGTAGCAGTAGTAGTAGTAGTAGCAGTAGTAGTAGTAGTAGTAAAGTAGTAGTAATAGTCGTAATAGTAATAGTAATAGTAATAATAGTAATAGTAATAGTAATAGTAATAAGTAATAGTAATAGTAATAGTAATAGTAATAGTAATAGTAAAATAGTAATAGTAATAGTAATAGTAATAGTAATAATAATAGTAATAGTAATAGTAATAGTAATAGTAATAGTAATAATAATAGTAATAGTAATAGTAATAGTAATAGTAATAGTAATAGTAATAGTAATAGTAATAGTAATAGTAATAGTAATAGTAATAGTAATAGTAATAGTAATAATAATAGTAATAGTAATAATAATGGTAATAGTAATAGTACTAATAATAGTAATAGTAATAGTAGTAGTAATAGTAATAGTAATAGTAATAGTAATAGTAATAGTAATACTAATAGTAATAGTAAAAGTATTGGTAATAGTAATAGTAGTAATAATAGTAATAGTAATGCGTGGGGATTTGATCTTGATGTTGCCCTTGTTGCTCACCCCACAGAGCTGTATTGTATAATGGCGTGGTTGCCCTCTACGAACTCGATCACTCTCTCTTTCCCCTTCTCTCACACAAGCCACACTTCCCTTGCAGGCAGATCCGGAGCTCGCTTGTTTTGCACTCTCGCGGCCAGCGATGGATCGTCTGTGCACGGGATGGCTCTGTTCCTCGGAAGGTCACAGAAGACGAATAGCTTTTAGCTATGGGCAATGCTTTCTAGAGCATGTGCTCACACTTGAGCCAAAGTTGCGTGGGCGGAAAGCATACAGGAAGGTTTGGCATTGCGGTGTGCGTAGCACTTCCACGAGCCTCAACCTAGAGACGAAGGACGCGTAGCGTGCCTTCTCTCTTGTCCTATACATCACATTGCTCACAGCTCTTATCGTGACACCATAGAACTTGACTAGGCATCGCAGTCCGTTCGCACCCCCCATGAGTTGCGTCTCCGACGCTGCTCACCCGGAAGATGGCGCGATAGGAACCCTATGGATTAGTCCGCCGCAACTTTGAAATACGGAATCAGAGCCTTGCATCCCAATTAGAAACGATGTGACACTCAACTACGTCGGTAACGATCCCCTGAAATGACAAACGAATCAGGCGTCACCGAAGAAAGATGCATTCGCAATGAGGTTCATGAGCGAAGCACAGAGGTCACGTTGATAAAGGAAAAGTCGATCATACGTTGTCCCGATACCACTGGCGAGTAGCCGCGGGATCATCGGCAGGATCACGCTCCCATGGTCGAAGATTTTGTTCTGGGTATGGAGATCTGCCCTTCCCCTTGGCCTTCCCTTTGTTCCTCTTGCCCTCGATGAAGTCGTGGTATGAATTGGCATTCCATCCGCCATGTTGTCCACTTCCTTTCGGGCGAGATTTGGGAGCAGCAGTAGATGCGGAAGCACTCGAAGTTTCTTCTGCTGTGACAGGTGTATCCATGATGGATGTCTGTCCGCGCGGAAGGTACTCGTCGGCTGAGATGTGATGCAATATTTCAGGACGGCGTGCATCTGGACGCATCTGCCGTTCGGCCCTGGTTTTACGCAGTCTGTCCAAGAGGTGGGACAGCATCTGCACATTGTGATCCACGAGCAACCCGATGGTCTGGACCGAATGGTCCGTGTGCACCAGTAGGATCCCGACTGGGTCGATGTACAGAAAGTCCACTGGTCCCGTTGGCGTGGGTCGAAGAACAGAAAATTGTGAGTGTCCTGTTACCATGGGAATAACTTCGCAGAGGACATTCAAGCAGCAGAAGTGCATCACCTTCACCTCGCTCTCGTCCTTCAGGTAAGTGCTGGGATTGAAGTTCTCCCTGCCAATTCCCATCATGTTGGCTCCTCGGATCAACATAGAGATCAGCTGGTGCGTTCGGAAGCGCTTGAGAGTGTAAGTCCCGTTGGGATCATACGACTTGGCGTTTTCCGGTTCTTTTGCAAAGCGGATGATTTCCTCATCAGTCACCTCTCTGCTCACTCCGGTGCTTGGGTCCACTCCTGCCAAAACACCCCACTTTCCAAGCACATCATAGCGTTGACCATTGGCAAAACTTTCCTTGAGTTGAAACAATGGTACTGTTGCCCATTTCGCAAAACCTGACCACGACTTGTAGATGCATCGGCAAACCACGTACGCCATGTAGGAGAGGGCGGCCATGTTAGCATCAATGCAATGCGCATTTCGCTTGTTGTGGTAGTAGTGCGGTTGCATTGCTGTTCGGGCAATCTGCAGCTCAGGGTCGATGTTCAAGGATTGACCTGCGACCCAGACAGGACGGCGTTCTTGTGCCACTGCTTCAGGCACCTCGTCGTCGAAATCTGCAGCCTGATCGGTGTCCATTTCCTCGTCGGGCTCCTGCTCTGCATCTTCTTCCGCAATGATGGACGGTTCGGGAATGCCTTCAGGTTCCGCCACAGTCTCAACCTCCATGGCTTCTTGTTCTTCAGCAGTTGTTTCAGGTACCGCTGCGGCAGCAGCCTCCATTGTCTGAGCAATGAATTCACTTGGGATCTCCGTAGGAGTTTCCCGTTGTGAAGTGCCTTGATGATAACCGCATGAAATGAACTGCGACCAGCACGATGTGCAGCGAGCGAAGCATGCCGGCACAATGTTGTAGCATGCGGGGCACACCCTCATCCTTCTGCCATCTCCTTCTCTTCGTAGGTCTTCGGGTCGCCAATTCTTGATGATGAACTTACTGGCTTTGTCCATGTAATGATGGCGCACGGTGTTCTCCCTGTGGGATTCTAGCACGGTAGTAAGGTCACGCATGATCTGTTCCTTACTGGCGTCGTGAGGACCTGAAGGCATGTCACAGAGAAGCTCCATGATCTTTGCCGGCGTTCGGTACCTTTCGAATTCCGGGAGCAATGGAGATCCATTGTAATCCAGCACCATTTCTTTCTCCAAGCGTTCATCGTAGATCTTTTCGATCAGTGCGAAAGAATGTGTATCTCGGGGATTCGGCACGCAAAACCATACCTCCTTGACGAACGCGAACGAAATCGTGCGCCCGACAATGATGACGCCACTGTCAGTGATCCGTCCACCTTCTCGGGTAAGATCTGTTGAGGCCACGTGCAGGACGACGATCGGCATGCGCTTGGCTTCTGGTCCGTGCACCCGAG